TGAATACTGGTGGGGTTTGGGGGGGGGGGGATTACTCTTGTCATTGTAGTTGCTGGGATTTATAGTTCACCTACAATCAAAGAGCATTCTGAACTCCACCACCAATGAAAATTGGCCAAAGTTGGCACACAGAACTGCCATGACCAACAGAAAATACTGGGAGGGTTTGGTGAGCCTTTACCTTGAGTTTGGGAGCTGTAGTTCACCTACATTCAGAGAGCACTGGGGACTCAAACAATGATGGATCTGGACCAAACTTGGCACAAATACCCGATATGCTGAAATGTGAACACTGGTGGAGTTTGGAGAAAATAGACATTTGGGAGTTGTAGTTGCTGGGATTTATATTTCCCCTACAACCAAGGAGCATTCTGAACTCCACCAATGATAGAATTGGGCCAAACTTCCCACACAGAGCTCCCATGACCAACAGAAAAAACTGTGTTTTCTAATGGTCTTTCGCAACCCCTTTGACCCCTCTAGAGGTCCCGACCCCCAGGTTAAGAAACACTGCTTTAGTGCCACCATTTCCCACTGCTGGTTCCACAAAGCCAATACACACAGCATCTCCTTTCTGGGCTGCCACAGCCAATACACACAACATCTCCTTTCTAGGCTGCCACTCTTCATCACTGCCGTCACCAAGAAGATCTGCATAGTTAAAACAATGGTATTTCCCATAGCCACCTACGGATGTGAGAGCTGGACCTTAGGGAAGGCTGAGCGAAGGAAGATAGATGCTTTTGAATTGTGGTGCTGGAGGAAAGTTCTGAGAGTGCCTTGGACAGCGAGAAGATCCAACCAGTCCATATTTCAGGAAATAAAGCCCGACTGCTCATTGGAGGGAAGGATAGTAAAGGCCAAGATGAAGTACTTTGGCCACATCATGAGAGGAAAGGAAAGCTTAGAGAAGACAATTATACTGCGGAAAATTGAAGGAAAAAGGAAAAGGGGCCGACCAAGGGCAAGATGGCATCCTTGAAGTGACTGGATTGACCTTGAAGGAGCTTGGAGGTGGTGACGACCGACAGGGAGCTCTGGCATGGACTGGTCCATGAAGTCACGAAGAGTCGGAAATGACTGAACGAATGAACAACAACAACTTCTCTTGCCATCCAGCAGAAGGAGAAAGTGCATTGTCTGTGAAGGTTATGGTGACAGATGTGTCTTTGCAGAAATGGATTTTAGTGGCTCAAATTATTGGACTGATGTTTCTTTATCATTTCTGTATTTCACAACTGAGAGAGCAGGAGGGAAGCCAGCTATCCTGGCCAGCCCACCAGTAAGCTTCCCCAACCTCACACCCAATGCTGCTCCCCTGCTGCCTTTAGTGCCACCGTTTCCCACTGCTGGTTCCACACAGCCAATACACACACACAACATCTCCTTTCTGGGTTGTATACTCTCTCCCAATGTATTCAACTTGTATGCAGAACACATCATGCGATGTGCTGGTTTGATGAATGCAAGGCTGGGGTTAAAACTGCTGGAAGAAACATTAACAACTTTAGTTATGCAGATGATACCACTTTGATTGCCGAAAGCGAGGAGAAGTTGAGGAACCTTCTAATCAAAGTGAAAAAAGAAAGTGCAAAAGCTGGGTTGCAGTTAAACATAAAAAAAACAAGATTCTGGCAACCGGACTGACTGACAGCTGGCAAATAGAGGGAGAAAATGTGGAGGCAGTGACAGACTTTGTATTTCTAGGTGCAAAGATTACTGCAGACTGCAGCCAGGAAATCAGAAGATGTTTACTTCTTGGAAGGAGAGCAATGACCTATCTCAATAAAATAGTGAAGAGTAGAGACATCACACTGGCAATGAAGACCCGTATAGTTAAAGCAATGGTATTCCCCATAGTAACCTATGGATGTGAGTGCTGGACCATAAGGAAGACTGAGCAAAGGAAGATAGATGCTTTTGAACTGTGGTGTTTGAGGAAAATTCTGAGAGTACCTTGGACCACAAGAAGATCCAACCAGTCCACACTTCAGGAAATAAAGCCTGACTGTTCATTGGAGGGAAGGATATTAGAGGCAAAGATGAAGTACTTTGGCCGCATCATGAGAAGCTCAGAGAATACAATGATGCTGGGGAAAATGGAAGGAAAAAGGAAGAGGGGCCGACCAAGGGCAAGATAGATGGATGGTATCCTTGAAGTGACTGGCTTGACTCTGAAGTAGTTGGGGGTGGTGATGGCTGACAGGGAGCTCTGGAGTTGGCTGGTCCATGAAGTCACGAAGAGTTGGAAGCGATTGAACGAATAAACAACAAAAAGCCAGGCGCATGAAGCAATGGCAAAGAGGATAAGCAATTGAGTGTCGCCACCTCATGCTTCTGGCACACATGGGAATCTGAACTACCTAGTGGTCCCAAACCTGGTTTGGCACAGCCAAACATCCATACTCTCCACCCCTTCTCATTTGCCATGTTGTAGTGATCTCTGTGCACGACGTGGGTCCTGCCAGTCAACCACTGGGTGCAGTGATGTTGGACAGGTCAATGAGGCAATGATGAAGGAGAAGTGGGGAAAAGAGGAATCACTCCCTCCTCTCCCCCTTCTCTTTGCTGATTGCCCCATCACCCTGTCTGATGTTACCGCAGCCAACAGTCAACCAGCAAAACCCCTGTAGCACCTGAAGGCTGCCGTAACATGGACATAGGAGTGGGACAATATGTGCCATCCCATGTTCCTGGGCCATCCAAGCCTGGGAAACATGGGATGTCACTGTAAACAGTTGTGCCTGGTTCCATATGACACTTTCTATTTGCAAGTAAACAAATGTGGTTGCGGACATTGCCGGAACTTCTCCTGGGGAAGTGGAAGTCATGAAATAACTTTTTTTATGGCTCCACTTGTGCTTCCTGGAAACACTGGTGGTTTTGAGATAAAGAAATTCTTGTAAAAAGTTGGTGAAACCAAGAACTCTTGGTTTATCGATTTTCAAGAGCTCATTCCTGCAAATTCATTATTGGGTGGATCCTTCTCATTTATACTGCAAAACAGTAACAGAACTTATACTCATTCACGAGACTGATGCTGGATATTTTTTAGTAAAAACAAGCATTGCAACCTGCACTTTGATTTTAACTTGTTCATATTTGCTCTCGAAAAAGTTTGTTGTCTTATTGTCATGCTTATAGGTTTCACAGAGACATTAGGTTCACCATTATTTAAATAGTTTCACTGATCAGGAGAAATACTGTGTCCAGTGCTGGGCATGACCACTCAATAATGATATTGACAAGGTAGAATGTATCCAGAGACAGGTGACCAAAATGGTCAAAACTCTGGAAGCCAAACCCTATGAGGAGTGACTTAGGGAGTTGTGTATATTTAACCTGGAGAAGAGTAGTGTAAGAGGTGTCATGATAGTAATGTTTAAATATTTGAAGTGATATCATCTTGAAGATGAAGTAGGCTTGTTTTCTGCTGCTTTAGAGACTAGGAAATAGAGCAATGGATTAAAACTGCAGGAAAAGAAATTCTACCTGAACGTTAGGAAGAGCTTTCTGATGTTTTTTTTTTTTTGTCATGTCAGGAGCGACTTGAGATGGTAAGAGATGTTTTACAGTGAAATACACTGTCGCAGACTGTGGTAGAGTCTCTTGGAAATTTTGAAACAGAGACACTGCATGGCCTTATATTGAGAATGCTTTGATTGTGTATTCCAAGATGGCAGGTGGTCAAAATGGATGGCCTTTGTGGTTTCTCCAACTCCTTGATTCGATGATCAGTGTTAGAAAATGGTCTGATCCAACAGAGCACAAACCAGGTATCTCTGACTCTCTAAATCAGTGGGTCTCAACCTTCCTAATGCCGCAACCCCTTAATACAGTTTCTCATGTTGTAGTGATCCCCAACCATAACATTATTGTTGCTACTTCAAAACTACATATTTGCTACTGTTATGATGTAAATATCTGATATTCACTGGACCAAATTTGACACAAATACCTGATACGTCCAAATTGGAATACTGGAGGGGTTGGGGGGGGGGGATATTGATTTTGTAATTTGGGAGTTGTAGTTGCTGGAATTTATAGTTCATCTACAATCAAAGAACATTCTGAACTCCACCAACGATGGAATTGAACCAAACTTGGCACACAGGACTCCCATGACCAACAGAAAATACTGGAAGGGTTTGGTGGGCATTGACCTTGATTTAATTGTTGATTGTATGTTTCTACCTACAATCAAGAGCATTCTGAACCACCAATGAATTGGGCCAAACTTCCCACACAGAACCCCCATGACAACAGAAAATACTGTTTTCTGATGGTCTTTGGCGACCCCTCTGATACCCCCTCACAACCCCCCCAGAGTTCCTGACTCCCAGGTTGAGAAACGCTGCTCTACATTTTACTGGATTACAACTTCTATAAGCCCTTCCATGCGATACACTGTTTAGTGGATAAGGAACTTCTCAACACCACCTGGAATGCAAAAAGCATGCAACCCTTGTGAAAGGGCTTTTCTTAAATATCAATTCTGCTCTATAGTGATCATCCCCTTTGTTTATGTGTGCTATTGCAAGCCACCAAAAAAACCAGATGTTTCAGTATACTCTGCCCATCAATAAAGGCAGTTGGTCCTCCATATTTTGTAGATTTGACATTTGTGGATGTGATTATTCATGGATTTGAATACAAAGATCTCTTTAGGAATCTCTAGATCATCCACTGCAACTTTGTGGTCAACCTCTGCGGCTGTTGAGAACATAGAGAGTGTGCTTCCTTAGGAATCTCTAGGTCCTTCCATGTGATGCTATGATCAACCTGCACGAAAAGTTGAATATCACCGTAGAATCAGTTTGAATGACTTAAGTGATTTATAGAGAGGTATTCTCTGAGGTTACACATTTTTTTTTACATCTTTTCACTTTTGTAGGAGCCCTGCACACCTGACTCTAGTGAATCGGCAGGCTGACTGTATTAATAGAAAAGATATTCTGAAGCAAGTTAAGGACACAAATACTTTAAATCACATACATTTATTAGGTATTAATATTAACTCTGTTATCAACTTACAAAAATGTTCCAGTGCCTCAAGTTTGAAAGATAATAATTGAAATATGCTTGCAAACATGTTCTGGGCAATCATTGCTTCTTTTTCCATGGATAGTTAGAACAAACTTTGACTTATTTATACAAAACTATAGCTACTCAGTATATTACATATCATGCTATACAATCCACTATTAAACACTCAGACTAACACAAAGGTATCTTGGTCGCTGGTGTTCTGGGTATGGTTGCTGGTCAAGGCAGTTTCTGGAACAGGAGTGGGCACTGTACCACGATACTTATTACATGGCCCACAGAAACCAACGAATGAGAAGCATTTCAGAACCAAATGACAAAGGAACTTCCTTAATTTTTCACTAGCAAAAGTGTAGATTATTGGATTCAGACAGCAATGGCTGAAAGCTATTGTTTCAGTTACTTGCACAATGTAGTCTAACAGACGTAAGGAGGCACAGGTCTCAAAGTAATCATAGATCCTTAACACCTGCAGGAAAAGTGATACATGGTATGGCGCCCAGAACAGCAAAAACACAATCACCACTGTTAAAATCAGCTTCACGGCTCTTTTTTTCCTGGTGTTTTTGCAGGAGAACAAGGTTTTGATGATGCCCAGATAGCAGAAGCTCATGATACACACTGGGAGAACAAACCCAATGATGTTCATTTCCATGTAGCTGAAAACTGGCCATAATGTCTCAAGATGTGAAGGATACAGAGAAGTGCATCGTTTCTCTGACTCTTGCACGAACACGAAGTGAGGGGCTGCAAATAAGACTGCAAGGGTCCATATTGCGGCGCTAGTGATGTATCCACGGTGGATAGTCCTGGCTTTCATAGCGTACGTTGCGTGGACAATAGCCAGGTATCTATCAATGCTTATGACAGTAATGAAGAACATGCCTCCAAACAATGCCACAGAATACAAAGAGGAAACTATTTGGCATAAAAGGTTTCCGAGTGTCCATTCATGTATGAAGTAAAAGGCCCAGAAAGGAAGGGATAACACAAATAGAAGATCGGAGATGGCCAGGTTCAACAGAAATATGTCAGTGATGCTCCTTTGGCCCCCTGCTTTCAAAATGGTCAAAACCACCAAGAAATTTCCAATTAGTCCAATGGTGAACAACACAATATATAGAACACACAGAAAGACTTTCATCGTGATATGAATATCCACTTTATCACATGGAGCTACCAGCAGCGAATAATCAAACTCAGTGGATGTCATCTCGGTATTTTCTTCAGTCATGGTGAATGCTTGTTTAGGAAAAAAAAGGAAGGAAAAGAAAAAACACGGTAAATATTGTTAGCTACTAAATGGGATACACAAGGAGCTTTCATACTTTTATTGTGACAAGTCGACTGCATTCAAATCCTAGCGTTTATAGTTTGGTGTTCTCTGGCTGAGAATTCTGAGTAACCTTCTCCCATTTGCAAATCCCATGTCCAAGGAGCCCTGCCAGCATAGCCAGTGGTGAGGAATGCTAGGTGCTGCAATCCAACATTTGAGGGTGTTATGATTGTCACTCATAGAATCATAGAATCAAAGAGTTGGAAGAGACCTCATGGGCCATCCAGTCCAACCCCCTGCCAAGAAGCAGGAATATTGCATTCAAATCACCCCTGACAGATTGCCATCCAGCCTCTGCTTAAAAGCTTCCAAAGAAGGAGCCCCCCAGGTAGCGGAATCTCCCGCCTTCAAGTTGGTTTGAGCCGCAGCAGGGAGTTCCGCAGTTCCGTAGAGCAAAGTTGGGTCCGACTGATGAAATGTGCCCCAGCCAGCAGCTCAAAGCAAAGGACTGCATGAAGCTTTCTTTCACTTTCCCCTCTCCCTCTCTTTGTAACCAATCCCTCAATAAAACACTTAAGTTTTGAAACTTTGAATCCTTTCCGCTTGATACTTTGTGTCCTTTACTGACTGCAGCCCTTCTAACTCATCCTAAACCTTTTCCTGAGCTCCGGGGAACCGTGAGCTCACTGGGGACGCCTTCCTGGCCTCCCCAGGCCTCCGAATTTGCGTTGGTTCGAATCGTGGATACGGAGATTTTCCTATTGGCCCCCCTTATCCGCCAAAGCAACAACATGGCGGATCGGGCCCGTTCAAATTTTATATTTTTCTACATTAAATTCTAAGACTAACTGCTATCTTGGTTTTCTCATTTTGGACTCCTGCACTCGTGAAATAATTGTTTTTGTTTAATCATTAAATTCGGCCGAGTCACCAGCTGATTGTCAAAATTCGCCGGCTTTTGCCGCTTGCTTCACTCCCCTCGTCGCTGCTCGCTCCAGCATGGCTCCCGCCGCCTGCCCAAGAGGAAGCCTTGGAAGTGGGGACCGGGCAGGGAAGGCCCGATCCCCGGTTGGGAGCGCTAGTTCCACCAAGGACAGGACAGCGGAACGTAGCTCCCCCTTAGCTCCAGCTCCTGTTTCAATAATGAACTGATCTTCTGATGGCCAGCCTAAGCCATAGGCTGGCCCCTGCCTCCAGAAACCCCTCCGTCTAGGCTTTTGGGATTTCTAGACTTTCTTTTCCTTTTTTATGAAATGAAATAAAAATAAAATACTTTCTTATGGATGGGGATTGGGATGGGTGGTGGGTTGTGGTGTATGAAATGCCTGTATATTAGTGATGCCTGTACTTTATGAATATGAAATATGTACCCCTATGAACTCCACTGTATCTTTTCCTCTTTGTCCCCTTACCCCACAAAGAAGACCAGCGTGACCAGGAACTGCCTGGGGGAAAAGCCCAAGCCTTTTCCCCCTAAATCACCCTTGATTGACTCATTTTGCATGGACAATGCTGCTGGCCCCCGATTTCGCCATCGGAGCAAGACCAACGAAGGAGGGTTTGGCCAGCAGAGCCCCGGAAAGAAAGGACTGATTAACTCAAATCAGATACTGTTGATCCTCCGGGCGGTCCAGTATCGACCCAGCTATTCAAATCCCTTGCCAGACCCATCAAGAACAGGAAAGCCTTTGTTTGGCAAATATCACCCTCTTCCCGCCTTGGACAATGGCCCGCATTCCAGCGGGCAGGAAATCCCAAATCCCATCATCTTTCCCCCATTGTCCACGGCTGTCACGCCTCCTCGCTCCTGATTGGCCAGAACCCGGGAAGCGAGAAGAGGGCGCCCATTGGCCCTCCCCAGGCGAAGAAACGCTCCCATTGGCTCCTGACGGAGGAGGGCGGGATTACCTCCTCCCAGCTGTTCCAGCCTCAGCCAATCAGCAGGAAGCCGGCTGACAGGGGGGCGGGCGGGATTTTCAAACTGCTTTTCTTTGTTCTTCACTGTATAAAAGTGCCTGTAAATTCTTGTGCTGCATGCTCTGCAGTGGAATGATTCCTGTATTGCATCCATTCAGCTGAATCGCAAATAAACGCCTCGGTCGCTGGACTCCTTTCGCCTGGTGAGATTATTTGATTTTAATAACTTTTAGCGCTCTTGGATTGGCTTCCGGAAAAATCTCGCCAAGGTACCCAGGACCCTTTTTGGTGCGGTCCTCGGGCCCTCTTCCCTGGAAGGGCCCCCCAAAAGAGCTCGATATCAGAAGGAGCCTCCATCACACTCCGGGGCAGAGAGTTCCACTGCTGAACAGCTCTCACAGTCAGGAAGTTCTTCCTCATGTTCAGATGGAATATCCGTTCAGATGGAATATCCTTACTACTGAAGAACTTTAGTGGGCCTAATGTCATCATGCCAGGACTTTACAGCAGGCAGCCCTGCATTTCTGCCACCTACAGAATTATGGGAAATGTAGTTTGGGAAGGTGAGGACCTCTGTAGCTGAGAATTCAAAAGGCCCTGCCCTAAACTACATTTCCCAGAATTCTGCAGTCAGCAGAAATGTGGGGCTGCCTGTTTTAAAGCTCTGGTGTGATAACGTGATTAGGGGAGATTAGGGTCAGAAAGCCTTTGACAATACAGTGGTTAGGGTTTTTTTTTTTGTCATGTCAGGAGTGACTTGAGAAACTACAAGTCGCTTCTGGTGTGAGAGAATTGGCTATCTGCAAGGACGTTGCCCAGGGGACGCCCGGATGATTTGATGTTTTTTCATCCTTGTGGGAGGCTTCTCTCATGTCCCCGCATGAGGAGCTGGAGCTGATAGAGGGAGCTCATCCGCCTCTCCCCGGAGTTGAACCTGTGACCTGTCGGTCTTCAGTCCTTCCGGCACAGGGGTTTAACCCACTGCGCCACCAGTGGTTAGGGTACTTTCATAGGATGGCAACATCCTTTGGAATCATGGGCTCTCTAGTCCAATTAGAAATCTCAGTTAGAAAACTCCAGGGGATCACCAGACTACTAACTCCAGAATTCCATAGGATACAGCCATGACTATAAAGGTGGAATTATAGTGCTATACTTCTGTAATGTGGAAGAGCCCCTAGAGTGCATCTACACTATAGCATTAATGTAGATTGATATCACTTTAACTCAATGCTATTGCATCATGGGAGTTGTCATTTTACAAGGTTTTTAACCTATTCTGTTAACTACTTCTGGCTCTCATGATTACACAGCACTGAGCCATGGCAGTTAAAGTGGTTTTAAACTGCATTAATTCTAGAGTGTAGGTACACCCCTACACTAATGGAGGATTAATTAATGGTAGCTACCTCTGATGATTGTTGCACAATCCTCCATTAGTGGTTTTCTCTAAATTTAGTTTAGATTTAGATTGAGCTAGAGATATCTATATCTATAGCTATAGCTATAGCTATGGTCATAGAATGACATCAGCTGGGATGCCACAGTAACGCAGGAAGGGAAATGGAGTGCATTTTTCACAGTTTCCTTTGATTTCCTTGGGTTATTTTAGCATTGCGCGGATTCAATCGTGTTTTGACGACATATTAACGGCGGTCTCTGGGGATGTAACGCGAGCATCTGCTTGTCCAGTTTTGTTGGATTCATTTCAATTGGTTCAGCTTGAGGATGTGGACAGGATCCTTGGAGAGGTGCGACCTACCACATGCATCGTAGACCCCTGCCCATCCTGGCTGATAAAAGAAGCCAGAGGGGGTTTGGCAGAGTGGGTGAAGATGGTGGTTAATGCCTCCTTACAGGAGGGAAAGTTTCCAGCGAGCTTAAAACAAGCTATTATAAAACCGCTGTTGAAGAAACCATCACTGGATCCCACTCAATTCGACAACTATCGGCCAGTTTCCAATCTCCCCTATTTGGGCAAAGTCATGGAACGTGTGGTGGTCTCACAACTCCAGGTATTCTTGGAAGACACGATTATCTGGATCCGGCACAGTCTGGCTTCAGACCGGGACATGGAACTGAGACAGCCTTGGTCGCCTTGGTAGATGATCTCCGCAGGGAACTGGACAGGGGGAGTGTGTCCCTGTTAGTTCTGCTGGACCTCTCAGCGGCCTTCGATACCGTCGATCACGGTATCCTTCTGGGTCGCCTCATGGATATGGGGCTCGGTGGCACTGCTTTGCGGTGGCTCCGATCCTTCCTAGAGGGACGGACCCAGAAGGTGTTATTGGGTGACACCTGTTCGGCCCCACAACCATTGTTGTGTGGAGTCCCACAGGGTTCAATCTTGTCCCCGATGTTATTTAACATCTACATGAAGCCGCTGGGGGAGATCATTCGGAGTTTCGGAATGAGATGTTATCTCTATGCAGATGATGTCCAAATCTGTCACTCCTTCTCACCTGTCACCAAGGAGGCTGTCCAGACCTTGAACCGGTGCTTGGCTGCTGTGTCGGACTGGATGAGAGCTAACAAATTGAAACTGAATCCAGACAAGACAGAGGTCCTACTGGTCAGTCGTAAGGCCGAACAGGGCATAGGGTTACAGCCTGTGTTAGATGGGGTTACACTCCCCTGAAGACGCAGGTTCGCAGCTTGGGAGTGATCCTGGACTCATCCTGAGCCTGGAAGCCCAGGTCTCGGCGGTGGCTGGGAGAGCTTTTGCACAATTAAAACTTGTGCGCCAGCTGTGCCCGTACTTTGGGAAGTCTGACTTGGCCATGGTGGTCCACACTCTGGTTACATCCCGTATTGACTACTGCTCCTTCTATAGTCGGATCTGGCCACAGTGGTCCACGCTCTTGTTACATCCCGATTAGATTACTGCAATGCACTCTACGTGCACAATTCCAAGTTCATGTGCACAGTTCCGAGCACAATTCAAAGTGCTGGTTTTGACCTACAAACCCCTACACGGTTCCGGCCCAGCGTATCTGTCCGAACGGATCTCCCTCTACGTCCCACCTCGGAGTCTAAGATCTTCTGGGGA